TATATATATATATATATATAATCGCATACTAGATTTATTATTATTATTATTATTATTATTATTATTATTATTATTATTATATATATCTAGTATGCGATTGCTAGTTATGTTAATACTTATTAGACAGATTAAAACTGCTATTTTACATTAGTAAATTCCCAATAATTAATCTAACAAAGTCATTACTAAGTAACATTAAATTAGATTCTTTAAGCTATATCTCAAATTTAAATCTGATAAACAAAAATATTATTATTATTATTATTATTATTATTATTATATATATCTAGTATGCGATTGCTAGTTATGTTAATACTTATTAGACAGATTAAAACTGCTATTTTACATTAGTAAATTCCCAATAATTAATCTAACAAAGTCATTACTAAGTAACATTAAATTAGATTCTTTAAGCTATATCTCAAATTTAAATCTGATAAACAAAAAATGTAACAATAGACGTAATTGAATGAAAAAATTCTTTAGTGATATCACAAAGTTCCTCGACCCAATTTGATAAAAAAAAAACACGTGTCGCACAAATCTTAGAGTCTTGTTTGAATGGATTTCTCAATGAAGGAAGAAAATAAAAAACAAAACATAAATCAAACTTGTTTAAAATTCAAATTCATTTGTGTACGTCATCTTTTCTATAGTTAGAAGATAGAATTTAAAAATTAAAAAAAATTATATAAAAAAAAAAAAGTGAAAGAGCATAAATTTTGTAATATCCGTAAGTAATTAGCCAATTGACATGAGAAATGACTTCAAGAAAATTGATAATAAAAATTCAATTACTATTAATGCATTATGCATTATTTTCCGTATAATATCTATTTATTTGCAAATACAAAAGTTACATTAAGAGTTTAAGACATTATAAAGTAAAACTGAATGACTAGCACAAATCTTAAAGGAAAACAAAGTTAAATTTCTTGACAAGGGAAAAAAAAATGGGCAAAATTGTTCCGGTCAATGCAGGTGCTCCCCTTCTATTTTGGTACTGTGTTTAACAAATAAGCACAAAGATCCATAGAAAGCAAAATAAAGAACCCAACGAATATTTCTAGTTCCATCATTGCTTCATTATCCAAAACAAGTTATTTAGAGTGTTAAAATAATGACTGAATTGAATTAAATTTTATCTTTCGTATTTATTTTATCAAGACTCTTAATCGATTGATCCATGTTGGCTAAAAGCAAATGAAGATGAACTATCGTGATAAAAAGGCTAGTGATCTAAGAGCCCCTTCTGTTTACCACCCTCAATCTAATGCCGAATAAAAGATATAGCAGACACAATTATTCTGCTCCCTCCATCATTCATGCATATCAAAACCTAATTATCTCATTATGAAAATGATAAAAAGACGTTGCCTAGATGAGCCTCTTTCTTTTTTTCTATTTTATTTGTCGACAGCAAGATTACTCTTTATGCACAAAACAAGTGATGATAAAACCGAAGACCAAAAGAATTAAGGGTATTTAGAATCCAGTATTGCGTCCACACTCCACATGCCTTGGCTTCCAAATACATGCACCTAGACAACCCTTTCTGGCACTATTCTGATGAAGTGCAATAATGCTGACCAATTAAGCTCAACAAACGAGGTCCTAATTCATGGAGCAGATGAACCTACATACCACCCTACGGTGATAATTCGAGGTGGCCAACACTCAAAATTTCAGAGAAACAGCTCTCATGAAGACTCCCTGTGTGAGCTAATGTATAAACTGAAAAAGGGCCTATCCTTACACATTTACCATAGCATCTCCAATACAAACATCTTCATTTCAATTTTCAGTCCTTTATTGCCAGATAAGTTTTAATAACACTCATTAATTATCACTTTAATACTAAAACTCCACTCAACTTTGTCTTAATTTTAGTGAATATCTCCACTCACAAGAGAACTCTCAATAAGGTTATATACTTTATCTTATATCCCTAGTTGATTTCTCTAACTCAAACAACCAACTTAAACAAGTCCATTTTGCCAAGAAAACCAGCACATTTCGTGGCTTCACCACCCTTCCCTTTAAAAACCTAAATTTATGAGTTCCAAGTTTCAAGCAACAACAATTTCCACCTTTCCATCAAGTACAAAAAGCCGAACAACAGCGAGGCACGAAGTACAACACCATATACTATTACCATTTTACCCGAAAGAGAAAATGATCAGACCTAGTCTCCACTAACTTGACTTAATTTTTAGTAAGATACTGCCACCATCGTCCATCTCCGGTTACTCGGCTCATTTATTCACCAACATTAAATAGTAGTAGCAGGTGCAGTACAGCAAATCTCCCCCCAAATCTCAACTGAAGAAACAAAGCAAGTGCAAAAGAATACAAATCTCCATCATCCATTCATTCATTCAATTTCCAAATGTAGATTAGGCAGAGAAGCAACAACACAGACAAACAAACTATCACAAAGTTTAGCATTGAAATTAAAACAACATGCAACAAATATTCATCAAAACGTTCTAAGTTCAAAGTTCTAACCTCACCTGCCTTGCTACAAACCGTCAGATGAGACTGCAAATATATAACTCAGCAAGATCAACGGCAGAAAATTAAAAGCAACCCTCGGTTAGTTTCTTTTTAAAGGACTCTTGGTCTCGATTTCTAAATAATGTAATTAGACATTTGGAATAAAATTTCAATAAGAAGTTGGTGGAGGAGGACGAGGTGGAGGCACCCAGAAGACATCACCATTTTGAGGCACCAAATTGGGGTTCAAATTATACACCGGCATTGAAACCTGTTGTTGTTGTTCACCCTGAGAAGGAGGAGTTCCACCACCTTCATTCACCTCTTGCATGTCCTCTTCACCTTGTTCATCCTCCAAAGGCAACCTCTCATAGGTAGCATTTGCAAACGTCGCAGCCACCACCATGACCGGCCCCGCGGCCACCAGCGGCCCCACCACGCTGCCGCCGACGACCTGCCCCTGCCCGCCGGCCAGGTACACGGTGAGCCCGGTGGCCTCCGGCGGCGAGGGCGGCGGCAGGAACGCGCCGGAGAGCGAGAGGATCTCGAACCTCCCCTGGAGGTTGATGACCCCGCCTGGGGCCGTGGGCTGGCGGAGCGTGACGTTGGTGACGACGCCGCTGCCACTGAGGACGGAGACGCCGCGGTGGCGGCGCGTGGCGAAGGTGGCAATGCAGTCGGTGACGTCGCTGCCGGAGCTGATTTCGAGGATGTGGCTCCGCAGCGCGTTGGGGCTCTCTTTGGTAATGACCACCGGCGGCTTGGGCTTGTTTCTGGAGCCCGGAGGCCTGCCACGTGGGCGGCGACCGGCGCTGAGGTTGTGGTCGTCGAGGTCACGGTCGGTGGTGGTGTTGTTGTTGTCCTCGTCCTCAACAGCGTTAGCGTTAACGTTAACGTTGTTGGTGTTGGAGTTGCTGTTGCTGCTGTTGGTTGGAGTAGCGTTGTCTTGGTGAAGCGATGAGTTGGGTTCATTGGGCCTGTTGGCGGCCCACCAACGATTCGCCATGGTTGAAAAGCAAAAAAGTAATGAATGTTTTGAGATCTGTGTGTGGGTTTAATAAAAAAGCGTTTGTCTGAGCCTGAGGTGTGGCTACTGGCTAGTTGTTGTTAAGCGTTTTGTTTGGGACTTGGAAGAGGAAACGGGGGAATTGGGTGAGTGAGTGTGTGAATAAGTGTGAGAGTGAGTTCCTTGAATCGCTCTTCTCCCCGGGAAGCGCTTCAAGGTTTTCCACTTTCCAAACCCCCCTCTTTTGCAACTTCCCTTCCTACTACATATATTTCTTTTTCTATATATTTTTTCATTCAATTTTTAAGTAGAATAAGAAATATAAAACAATATGTAGGTTTATAATTATTATTTTTATCTATAATATCTTGTACAATTCATAAATGATGAGAACAAGGCCAATGACTCGAGCACCTCGTGGGGTGGGGAATGGGGATGACTGATGAGGGAAGGGATGACCAAAAGACTAAAATCTAGAGTGTGAACAAAGGCTTGCTGGGAGATTATCTTTTTTTTCTTCTTTTTAATCAAGGGAATAAAAATAAATAATTTAATTTGTTAAATATAATTGATATTATTTTTAAAATTTTATATTTTCAACTTTATCTTGATAATATATATTTACATTATGTTCAATACATACTTTATTAATAAAATATAAATATTATGGAGGTAAATTTTTTATTCAAATTAATAAATTATACCAATTTTATTATAAAGAATTCAAAACAACCTAAAATCCACGTGGAATTTCGGTATAATAAACACCCGTCAGTACAAGACTAAGAAGAAGAAAATGATTTAGAACAAGACTAAAATGAAAATGATTCAGAACAACTAGATTTACATATTTTTAAATTAATGGTGTACTGTCCAGGTTAAAATCCGATTAGGTTTTCTTCT